TCTCTCTCTCTCTCTCTCTCTCTCTCTCTGCCTCTCTCTCTCTCTCTCTCTCTCTCTCTCTCTCTCTCTCTCTCCATTAGGTAAGGACATAGCAAGAAGGCAGCTGTACGCAAGCCAGGAAAAGAGCCCTCACCAGAACCTAACCACACTGAGAACCCTCGTCTTCCAGCCTCCAGAACTGAAACAAAAGTCAATTTCCATTGTATGAGCTGCTCTGGCTATGGTATATTTCATGGAAGTCTGAACTGCCATAAAATATGTTCATACATTAAAAACATCACTTTTTATGTTTATACATTATAAACATTTTCTTCATTGGTATTATAACTCCTCTGTCAAGACCCCTTCTTTTCCTGGGTTGCTGTTTTCACATAATGTCATTTAATTTTATAATTTTTGATTCAGTTTCATCTAATAAAACAAGCTTGTTCATGTTTTTAAAGTGGTCCCATTTGTTCTACAATTTTAACCTTGTATTTGATGCTAAACTCTTTCTCTCCCTTCTCGGTGGCAGCTGAGACCGGTTCTGTCTCTCAGATGGGCCACCATCTAGCCTCTTGCTGCCGGGGTTTTCTTGTCCTCAGGGGGTCCCAGGAGATGTTGGTATCACCATAATATCTTACCCCTGAACATGGGGGAATCTCGTCCCTGCCAGGCCACACGGCAAGGCTGCCACCACCCTCCACACCCCTTTTTTGGGTGCTCCATAATCTTCTGCTTTCTTGACTTCCTCTCTCTTCTTGTCCCACCACACCAGGTGGCTATACCAGTCAGCAGTTGGGCAGGTAAGAGACAGGTTCTAGGCTCTGCCCGAATGGTGAGAGGTAATTCACACACCCTAACTACATGGCAAGGAAGATCGAGGGCAAGCCCGTGGGAATGTGACTGCTCCTTCCCCCAAAACTTTATGTTCTCCCCAAAGACTCCATTCTCATGGCAATGGCTGGGGCCTTCACAGGGTTGGGAGGCCAGAGGCTCTGCAGAAGGCCAATACCCTGCCCTACTCCACTCCTAGATCAGAGTGGCTCTGGATTGTCTGGCTAGAGTGGCCTTGAGTATGTGTATTAAAGAAACTTAAATGTGGCTGAGCATGGTGGCTCCTTCCTATAATCCAAACACCTTGGAAGGCCAAGGCAGGAGGATCGCTTGAGGCCAAGAGTTCAAGACCAGCCTGGGCAACATAGCGAGACCTCATCTCTGCTAAAAATAAAACAAAAATTAGCTGAGCAACGTGGCATGAGACTACAGTCCCAGCTACTCAGGAGGCTGAGGCAGGAGGATCACTTGAGCCCTTGAGAGCAAGCCTATAGGGAGTTATGATCTCACCACTGCACTCTGGCCTGGGCAATACAGCAAGACCTTGTCTCAAAAAATAAATAAAACCAAAATCCTAGCAAGAAAATCTAGAAGACCACACATACAATTTGGGAGTTAACCTAGACTAGAAACCCAAAAGCTGTAAAATAAAGACACACATATTAACTATGTAAAATGTAGACCTTAAATGAGCAAGAAGAACCATAAATTAGTTCAAAGGGCAAATGATGGATCTGGAAGAAGCGCTTTTCCAATGCGACACAAAGGATTCATATCCGTAATATGCAGAGGACTCGGGAATTTACAAGAAAAGATAAACGCCCTGGTATAAAAATGGAGCCAACCACACACGCATATAAGAGCAAATCTACATGGCTGTAAGAGTATGAAAAGATGCTCACGTTGGCTGCTAGTCAGAAAATGCAAATGAAAGTCACAATGAGATATTACTTTACACCCATCAGAGTGGAAACCAGCAGAAAGAACTCCAGCACCTACTGGTGAGAGAAGCCATCTCCTCTAACATGAGGTGTTTCTGCCTTTGGGAAAACCAATCCAGTAACATCTATCACAAAGTTAGTTAATTAGTTAGTTAGTTTATTTTGAGATGGCGTCTCACTCTGTCACCCAGGCTGGAGTACAGTGGCATGATCATGGCTCACTGCAGTCTCAAACTCCTGGACTCAAGTGATCCTCCTGTCTCAGCTTCCTGAGTAGCTAGGACTACAGACACACCATCATGCCTAGCTAATTTTTTTTTTTTTTTTGAGACGGAGTCTCACTGTCACCCAGGCTGGAGTGTAGTGGTGTAATCTCAGCTCATTGCAACCTCCACCTCCCAGGTTCAAGCAATTGTCCTGCATCAGCCTCCCAAGTAGCTAGGATTATGGGCATGTGTTACCACACCTGCCTAATTTTTGTATTTTTAGTAGAGACAGGGTTTCACCATGTTGGTCGGGCTGGTCTCGAACTCCCAACCTCAGGTGATCCTCCTGCCTTGGCCTCCCAAAGTGCTAGGATTACAGGCGTAAGCCAACATGCCCAGCCTAATGCCTGGCTAATTTTTTAAAAATTTTTGTAGAGGCAGTATCTCATGATATTGCCCAGGCTGGTCTCAAACTCCTAGACTCAAGGGATTCTCCCACCTCAACTTCCCAAAGTGCTGGGATTACAGGCATCAGCCACTGTACCAACCATGAGACAATACGTTTCTGTTAAGTCACTCTGTGATACTTTATTACCACATTCATATGAAATAAATAACCCTTTCCTACTTATCTGTGCATTCTACAAGATGTATGTGAAATTTCTCAGCCTCTGCAAAGACTTCCTGATACAGTTTGGAGCTGTGTCTCCACCCAAATCTCATCTCGAACTGTAATTCCCCAGGCGTTGAGGGAAGAGTGGGAGGTGACTGGATCATGGGGGCAGTTTCCTTCATGTTGTTCTCATTATTGCGAGTGAGTTCTCTCGAGATCTAGTGGTTTGAAAGTATATGACTTTCTTCTCCCTCTTCCGCCACCATGTAAGAAGTACCTCTCCTTCATCTTCCACCATGACTGAGGCCTCCCCAGCCATGCAGAACTGTGAGTCAATTAAACCTCTTTCCTTTATAAATTACCCCAGCCTCAAGTATGGCTTTATAGCAGTGTGAGAACAGACTAATCCGCTTCTTGAAATCAATCGCTCCCCTCATCTTCTGTGTTTGGATATTTCATGCATGCCCAGGCTCCAGCACTTACATCTCTGATTCATTCCCTTTATTCTATCCCTTTTCTACCAGTTCTTGACCCCCTTGAAGGCAAGGAGCACATCTAACTTACCTTCACACCCTCCACACCCTCAGCACTGAGCACAAAGTAAGAGGCTCACAAGTGTTTGCTAAATGAATGAAAAAACGCATCTGAAATAGACCTTTCAACTTCATCACCTCAAAGCAGGGGGAGTCAACAGTGGCCACAAGAAGCAATTTGGACAATAAATTTTCTGTCTTGGCAAAGCTCTTCGATGCTGACAAATTGACTTAATAGTGAAAATGTCTTTAATGGGGGCAATATGGCAAAAAGTAATTAACTCTCTAATTGAAATCTAGAACTTTGAAAGTAATTAATGGGAGGCCAAATTGTCCTTCACAGCAAGAGTGCTGGAAGAAGCCTGCCGGCTGTGGCTCTGCAGTGGGGCTGGAGGAAGGTGCCATCTGAGCAAACCACATCATCAGAGGGCAGGGCCTGCACATCCGGACGATAAGTGTTGCCCTTCGTCAACCGGGAGATGCCATCAGCCCAGGCTGGCAGGTGCCACTTTGCTCCATAAGAAGGAACATTTTTTTCTAATAGGCAGGAATTTCCATCACTGTTTTGTACTGATGCTGGGGACTTACAGGAAGGGGGAGGAGCCCCTCTTTCTGAGTCAGTGAGCATGATGCGAGTGCCCGACTAGTCAAGAATCACAGAATCTTGGAATTCCGGCAACCTTCCATCACCCTGAGGTCTCAGAGTCCCACCCAACTGCAGGATTTTTCCCCAGGTTCTCACTGGCTGGAGGCCGGACAGAGGATGCGCCTCCCCCTCGAGTCTCTGCAACCTCCCCTCCTTGCATAGAAGGAGGTGATTGTTAAGTGAGTGATCAGTGATAACATATTGCCTGGCAACAGATGGCATCTATATTTAGAGGCCCTTCTGAGGAAGGATTCATGCCATTAAGAACACATCACAGGTCGAGAAAACGGGAGTCAAGTGTTTCAAATGACTCCCAAAAAATAAAAATTAGGAAAAAAGAAAAAGCACCTCTATGTGTCCCCCTGTGATGGGCTCCATTTTGACACCCCCCAGCCCCACACCAAAAATAATTCATATGTTGGAGTCCTGACGCCCAGTCCTTCAGAAGGACAAAAGACCACATACTGGGTGCAGCGTACACTGCTTGGGTGATGGACGGACCAAAATCTCAGAAGTCACCGCCAAAGAACCGATCCACGTAACCACAAACCACCTCTGCTTAAAAACTATTGAAAAGAAAATAAAAGGGAAGAAAGAACGTGACTGTATGTGGAGGTCGGGCCTTTAGAGAGCAGATGAAGGTGGAGTGAGGTCACGGGGTAGACACGAATCTAATCTGGCTCGTGTCCCTGCAAGAAGAGATTAGTACAGAGCACACATAGAGGGTGGCCATGGGCAGACACAGGGAGAAGACGGCCATCCACGAACCAGAGAGAGAGGACTCGGGGGAAACCAAGCCTGCCGACACCTTGACATCGAACCCTCTGGAAGTGTGAGAAAACCAGTCTGCTGTTTAAGCAGCCCAGTCAGCCATACGTTGTTACAGCAGCCAGAGTGACATAACATATGTCCCCTTGCTCGTAAGACAAAGGACCATCTCCTTAGTGCAGCACACATCACCCTTGGCCAGCTGACCCCACCTACACTCTCAAGTCCCCTTCCCACCTGTGGCCTCCTCCAGACATGCGACCCCAAACACACCATGAGCTTTCACACCACAGGACCTTAGCACGTGACTTTCACTCTATAGGGGTCCCTCTCCTCACCCTCATAGTCTATTGGAAGGTCCGGTCCACCTCCTAGGCTCAATTTAAAAGCCTCATCCTCAGAAAGGATCTCCCGAACCTCTCGCCCCTCCCCATATTAGAATGCTTGTGCTGTGTTCCCCTCACATTCTCTTTTTACCTGCGATCCAGCCATAGCTCCTCAGAGGTCCAGACTGCGTCTTTCTCAGCTTTGAAGTCCCACGCATAACGGTCACTCAAGAAGGGTCTGCGGAATGAGAGAATTGACACGATATCTTACAAAAGAGTCATGGGGTGAGAAAGAGGGATCCAAGAGGCCAACCAGTCCTTACTGCCCGATGTAACAGAGACAGACAAACGGAACCACGGATGCAGAAGCAGAGAAAAGGTCGGGGCTCAGAATTAGGAATCCTGTGTTCTAGTCCTATTTCCTTCTGGTGCTGACTCACCGTTTGACATGATTGAGTCACCTAATCTCTCAGTCTGAAGTTGGACCAGTTCATCTTTAGTTCTAAGGAAAAAAAAAAAAAGTTAGTGACTCCACAGACAAAATAAAATAAAAAGACCTTTTGCTCTTCCACTCATACATTTATTCATACAATGCACCGCACATTTCTCGAGCACCTGTAACTTGCCAGGAGAGTGAGAGGCTGCTTCCAGGGGAAGCAACATTTGAGCAGGATATTGCAGGGGACTTGGAAATGAGAAAATAGCATTTCCATAGAAATTGAATTTCCCAACTTCAAAGAATCCTTCCAACTCTTACAAATGTTATGCTGTGCCATTCCAGAAACGGAAAAGTACTTCTGTTAAGCATGAGTGGGTGGGAGGACGACGGAGTAAGATGGTTCTGGCACTGGGAACGTGATGGACAAGGGTCAAGCTGGGAGAGCAATGGGGCCCTCAGGGAACAGAGAGAGGCCACGTCCTGGAAATGGGAGGTATCCGCAGTGGATGGACAAGACAACACGCTTTGGTTGTGAATGCACTTGGCAGAGGGTTTGTTCATCTAGAGTCTCTGCCGAATTCAGCAGCAATAAGAAGCCCACCAGTGACAGAGGCGTGTGAACCAGAGCAGCTCCATCTTGAACAGGAGCTGGGTAAAATGAGGCTGAGACCTACTGGGCTGCATTCCCAGACTGTTAAGGCATTCTAAGTCACAGGGTGAGATAGGAGCCTGCCACAAGATACAGGTCATGAAGACCTTACTGATAAAACAGGTTGCAGTAAAGAAACCGGCTAAAACACACGAGAACCCAGAGGGTGAAGAGAGTGTGGTTGTCCTCACCGCTACACTCCCACCAGCACCATGACAGTTTACAAATGCCATAGCAATGTCAGGAAGTCACCCTATATGGTCTAAAAAGGGGAGGCATGGATAGTCCACCCCTTGTTCAGCATATCAAGAAATAGCCATAAAAATGGGCACCCAGCTGCTCTCGGGGCTGCTCTGTCTGAGGAGTAGCCATGCTTTATTCCTTTCTTAGCAAACTTGCTTTCACTTTACTCTATGGACCCAGCCTACATTCATTCCTGCGAGGTCCAAGAACCCTCTCTTGGGGTCTGGATCTAGACCCCTTTCGGGTAAGACACAGTGTGTGTGTGTCTGAGAAGCGAAGTGACTGAGCAGATATTCATGTTAAAAAAAAAAAATACTTGTTGGCAGATGCTTGGAAGTAGGGTGGAGATGGTGACGCTAGAGGTGAGAACCAGTTAGGACGCCCAAAAATGGCTGAGACCTGTGATGAATCCTGCGGCCAGCACAGGGGTGGAATAGACAAAGAGTGGTGGAAGTTTGCCCAGGATTGCTCAGCTATCCAAGACCTCAAGTCTCTGTCTATATCGGAAATCATGGCATGCTCGGCCCAGCAGAAATGTTGATAATTTCATCAGATCCCAAATCCCCAGTAGAAATGAAAGAGCTTTAAATTCAATCATCAGTTGGAATGCGTCTCTTCTCATCAACCTCAATCCATTATCCCCACCGTGTGAGTGGGTGCAAGTGCAGATGCGCACGCGCACACACACACAGACACACACACCTTTGTCTTTTCATGGAAAGCCAGCGAGTTGTGTAGCCTATTATTTAGTTTAGAGAAGATCTCTGTGGTTTAAATTGGAGGCTTCAGACAAATTGCATTTGAAATTGAAAAGGGGTGAAGTAGCCAGATGTATCATCAATTTAGGAAGATAACTGGTGTATTTGATTGCTACCAGAGCCCATTTATCCCACTGTTACTTAAAATAAAAGACCAGAAGCTGGGCAACTCTAAATTTCTCAATCTGGGCCTTTGACAGGAAACTGAAAGATTCGTCCGCAGAATTCTTTATTTCTCATTAAGACCCAGGCCTTTTCTTTCCCAGTGAATGAAGATGATGTGTCTGAATTACAGGCTGGACCTCATTCTCTTCCTACCCTCTCAGCAGAGTCTATTTGGAAAATAGGCTGGTTAATTAGGTTTAGGTGGGTTGGAGAGGCTGGGGTTGGGGAAGCCGGGGGAGGGGGGCCATGGTGAACCAGAATTTCTGAGAACACCAAGTATAGAAGAGCTCTAGGAGGCAGCCCTGATCTTCCTAAAAAAGGAAAATAAGATATCGGGGAGTCTCAGTGAAGGAAATCATGTAGACGGTGGTTCATTTCCAAGACGAAGTGCCTCACATCGGCTTGGGTCAGCAAACTACAGAATATACTAAGGCCCCACAGCCTGCTTGTCGCCTCCCTCCCAACTCAGTTGCCCTCACCCAAACCAAAGTTTAGTCCCAGATAAACGTTTACTGGCCTGCAAAATAGCTCACTTCGTCTGTCCGGTCCAGCTGCTCGGATGTTAAGTCAAAAACTTGAAGAGCCCTGAGCTAAACGAACTAGGATTGCAATGCATTGTGGGCTGCAACAGAATGCAGCAAGATAACCCTAAAGAAAACACCTGAAGCCCCTACCCAGCAACCAATAGGCGACGTCCGGGTAGGTCGCAACCCCATAGTACTCAGCCAATGAGGAACGGGGGGAGGGACCTGCGCACTGGGGGATAAACCGTGCTCATTGAAGCTGTGCTGGGTGTGCCTGCCTGCCCATGGGATACCTGATCTTGCAAGACCGTCATTAAAAGTCTCGTTTGGTGGGGCGCAGTACTCAGGCCTATAATCCCAGCACTTTGGGAGGCCGAGGCGGGTGGATCACGAGGTCAAGAGATCGAGACCATCCTGGTCAACATGGTGAAACCCCATCTCTACTAAAAATACAAAAATTAGCTGGGCATGGTGGCGCGTGCCTGTAATCCCAGCTACTCAGGAGGCTGAGGCAGGAGAATTCCATAAACCCAGGAGGTGGAGGTTGCGGTGAGCTGAGATCGCGCCATTGCACTCCAGCCGGGGTAACAAGAGCGAAACTCCGTCTCAAAAAAAAAAAAAAAAAAAAAAAAAAAAAGTATCACTTTCGCTGTCAGGTCTCTGAGTCAGTTCTTCGGGTTTGTACAGGTGAGTTTGTTTCCCACACTAAGAAATCACTAGACTCTTGGAGCTGGCTCCTTGAGCCAAGGACAGCCTCTTAATGTCCTTCAATGTCTGTAAAAGCATCTTAGAATCTGTCAAACAGTATACACTATTGTAAGGTATACTGTACTATTAGGAAAATTTAGGAAGGGACCCCTCAGAATGATGGGGCCTGAATTTCGCCCAGAAACTGAATAAAAAAGGACTTCCCTCTCTGAAATGTCACCATTTAAACATCTACTTCTCTACAGCCTGAATTTCGGATCTCCCCTTAGATGTTGGAGGTCTGCACTGTAGACTCATGCAACACCAGGTTGGAATCCTGGCTTAACACTTAGGAACTGTGTGACCTTGGCCCGGGGAAGTACCTTTCTGTGATGTGAGTTCCTCCTTTGTTAATTGCAGTAATCAAGGCATCTCCATCCTCACGCCCTTGTTTTGGTAATTAAATGAGACGGCGAATGTAAAATGGCGAATATAGGTCCTGGCATGTGTATGTGCTCATAAATCATAGTTATTACTTGTCATAGCTGTCTCTTTTTATTAAATTTGGAAAAACCAATTCAGAATCTCACCCTAGTCTCTCAAAAAAAAAAAAAAAAAAAAAAAAAAAAAAAAAGCTGGAGATCGTTCTGCTTTCAGTTCTAAGTGTTTAAAAATATTTCAAATGAAAGGCAGACGGGTTGGAGAGGGGGAGGAAAGGCTGCGGTATCTGGGAAGGGAAGACATCACAGATGGGCCATCAGGAACTTCACAGAGTGTCACATCCAGAGGTACCTGCCAGCTCACCCAGGAATGAATCTTCTATGAGGACCAGATGCTACTAATTGGCGAGGAATCCTGTGGCTGCCACCCAAAGAAGGGAACAAATTCTTTGTCACCACATGGTTGTTTTTTCCTTCCAAGCAGAATGTGTTAACTCTTTCAAATAGTAGTACCAGCTTCAGTCTCAAAAAAAATGCATGTCTGCATTCAAGAGACTTAAGAAAGACAATAAGCCATTTGTTTCATTGACTCTGATTCTCTGCCCAATGGACAATGCTTGGTTCTATCTGGTCATTGCGTCTCTGGGCCAGCAAGAAGCATGGATGGGACCGGGCATGGTGGCTCATGCCTATACTCCCAGCACTTGGGAGGCCGAGGCAGGAGGATCACTTGAACCCAGGAGTGTGAGACCAGCGTGGGCAACATGGCAAGACCCCATCTTTACAAAAAAATACAAAGATTAGCTGGGTGTGGTGGCACACACCTGTAGTCTCAGCTACGGAGGAGACTGAAGTGGGAGGATCACTTGAGCCAGGGAGGTTGAGGCTGCAGTGAGCCAAGATCACTGCACTCCAGCATGGGTGACAGAGTGAGGCCCTGTCTCTCTCTCTCTCTCTCTCTCTCTCTCTCTCTCTCTCTCTCCTCTCTCTCTCTCTCTCACACACCACACACACACACACACACACACAGAACACCATAAATGATACTGTACAATGGGACTTCACTTAAACTGTTCCCATGTGGGACTCAGACGTTCACCGCCTCCACACTCTGCCCACTCTTACCCTGTTACCACTTCTTTCCAGGTCTCTCTCTTCCTTCCAAATTGTCACCTCTTTCAAAGACAGGAACTGGTCTTCGCCTTCTCTATTGTGTACTCTCAGAGCCTAGCAAAGACCTTGCCCCATGGTAGAGCTTTGCTCAACAAGTAGACCCGAGATGACTCAGGCCCCAAATGTATTCTCAGCACCTCCCGTTCCCTCAATTCCCAGACCTCGGATTAGCACCATCTGCTCCCATCTCCTCAAATTACTCTCTGCCTCTTGAAGCCACCGTAGGTTCCCACACGTCCACATCTTTTCTTCTGTCTAGAGTCCTCTCCAGGATTGAGCCAGACCCCATAAAAGGAGTGATTGCCGGGTGCAGTGGCTCAGCCTGTAATCCCAGCACTTTGGGAGGCCGAGGCGGGTGGATCATGAGGTCAAGAGATCGAGACCATCCTGGTCAACATGGTGAAACCCCGTCTCTACTAAAAATGCAAAAAAAAAATTAGCTGGGCTTGGGTGGCGCGTGCCTGTAACCCCAGCTACTCAGGAGGCTGACGCGGGAGAATTGCCTGAAACCAGGAGGCGGAGGTCGCGGTGAGCCAAGATCACGCCATTGCACTCCAGCCTGGGTAACAAGAGCGAAACTCCGTCTCAAAAAAAAAAAAAAAAAGGAGGCGATTATAGAGCAGGATCTGTCAAACCTGCAGCCTGTGACTGTGGCCCACTGCCTGCTTTTGTAAATAACATTTTACTGGAATACATCGAGGTCCGTTTGTTTACGCATTGCAGTGGCGGCTTCAGCACTATTATGACAGGGTTGAGGAGTTACTACAGAGATTCCACTGCCTGCCAAGCATAAAACATTCTCTTTCTGGCCCTTTGCAAACAAAGTTACTAACCTGTGTTTTAAAGGCAACAGCAGGGTCTGAGGAGTGAGACAGACTTCACTTTGTGTTGTTTTGTTGGCTTTCGTTTTGTTTTATTTTTATTTTTTATTGATACATAATATTTGTACATATTTATGGGGCATATGTAACTTCTTTTACATGCATAGAATGTGTAATGATCAAGCCAGGGCATTTATGATATCTATAACCTCAATGTGTCGGGAATATTTCACATTGAAATATTCTATGATTCCTATGTGTCGGGAATATTTCAAGTCCTCTCTTCTAGCTATTTTGAAATATGCAGTGCATTGTGGTTAATATAACCATGCGGCTCTGCTACTCAACATGAAAACTTATTCCTTCTACCTCACTGTATTTTCGTATGCGTTAATGAACCTCTCATCCCTTACCTCCCACCCTTCCCAGCCTCTGGTGACTACTCTCTGTTGTCATGAGAGCAAATGTCTTAGCTCCCACATAGGACTGACAACATGCAGTCTTTGTCTTTCTGTGCTTGGCTGGTTTCCCTGAACACAATGGCCTCCAGTTCTAACCATGCTGAATTCTGGCTCTACAACGATCCTTAAGTAGCCGTGGAAAACTTTCTCCACTCCTCAGAATCGCTGGGGTGTTTTCCTCTCCAGAAAGGAGATACCTAAATCTATTTTAGACAAGGTGACTATAAAGGCAGGATCAAATGTACGAAAAATATTCTAGAGGCCAGGTGTGGTGGTTCATGCCTGTAATCCCAGTGCTTTAGGATGTCAAGGCAGGAGAAGCATTTGAACCCAGGAGTTTGAGACCAACCTGGACAGCATAGCCAGAAGCTCCTTCTCTTGAAACAATTTTAAATTTAGCCAGGTGTGGTGGTGTCTACCTGTAGCTCCAGCTCTTCAAAAGGCTGAGATGGGTGGATTGCTTGAGCCCAGGATTTTGAGGCTGCAGTGAGCCAGGATCGTGCCACTACACTCTAGCCTGGACAGCAGAGTGAGACCCCACCTCTGAAAAAATTAAAATAACGAAAAATATCCTAGTGCCATAGCCAGCCAATGGGATAGATGCTCAACAAATATATCCTCTTCGCTTCCTTTTTCCTCTGTCCTCTTCTTAATTCAGTTGCCTTTTTCACCTCTTGGAAATCCACCAGTGTCAGGCTGTATTACTGGACCCAGTTCTTCACACTTCCTTATTTATATCCATGGTCTTTGCCGTGTAATTTTGCATGTGCCCTCACAAAAATGGCAGACCACATTTCCCTATCTCTTAACTTTGGGTGTACCACATGACATGCTTTGGCTCAACAGAATGAGGTGGAAGTGGTAGGGTCCCAGCTCCAAGCCCAGGCATTAAGAGGTCTCAGAAATTCCCATGTGCCCTCTTTTGTCTTTGTCATCACCATAAGAAGAGCGTACTGCACACCAACTGAAAGCAGACACACCTCACTCGAATCTAGCCAGTTGGGTTGGATCATCAGCCAGTCCCCAACCACCCCCAGGGAGTCTAACTGAGACCAGCCAAGGGTTGGTCCAGGGGTTGGACCATGTTAGCCAACCCCAAGCAGATCCACAGGTCTATGAGAATAAATGTTTGATTTAATGTGAGGCTCCGGGTGGCTTGTTACACAGCAATTCTATGTCCAAAACTAGCTGATACACATCACACATCCTTTAAGATACAACTCGGGTACCACTTCATTTAGGATAAAATCCAAACTTTCCCGCTTCCTAGCTATGTTCCATTGGGCAGGTAAATTAGCCTCAGTTTACTCTCTCTAAGATGAAGATAATAACACCACAGTTATTGTTCAGAGGCTTAGGGAAGATGACCATGATAGTCATTCAATAACTGTTTATTTCTGGCCGGGCTCAGTGGCTCAGGTCTATAATCCCGGCACTTCAGGAGGCTGAGGCATGTGAATCACTTGAGGTCAGGAGTTTTAGACCAGCTTGGCCAACATGGCAAAACCCTGTCTCTAAGAACA